TCCAGTTCCCTTGTAATACAATTTTTTGGTAGGTTCAAAACATGGTAGGTCGATACAGTGTTGGACGTTATTCGAATAAATTCTTTTTCGTTGTTTGTTCATTTGTTATTCGACTTCAGTTGCTTCGTTCGTAAAATTTAACGCGCTCGTTGGCAGACTTTTCTTCTACATTACTATGATTAATCTGCCATATTCCTACAAGATTTCTGATGAGATGCTTGAGAAAATATGATATTTAAGTAAATCATATTTAAATAAAATTCATGGAAAAAAGACATTTATTCGTCTCTTTTATCTTGAAAACTACGGCTAACAAATAAGAGATAACGAATAAATTCGATTTACACGAATTATTCGAATTTACTCGTTATTCGAAATAACGTCTGCAACGCATAACATTGTTACAGATTCATTTCTCATCTTCCACAACGATTCGATTGAGAAAAGATTCTTCTTCCACAGGAAATCTACCATTTCCGCTAAAATGAAAAATGCCGCACTGCTTTTTCCAACAGAACTCGTCAGATTCGCGACGTACTAGGACACGAAAGTGGAAATTTGTTGAATTTGTCGGTGAATTCGTGAAAATCAACTTTCCAAAGTAGGTGCACCAAAATGGAAATGTCTGCGGGCTAAGGTCACTTCTATAATTCATACGAAAGTTTCTGCATACTGTACGGTTCACTACGATTTAACCCACGTATACATGAGCGCTTTGTTTAATAAACTTCACGAACACGAGCGTATACTCTTTCAAGACCCGATGTAGTACGCGGGGCGAGCGTGAAACTTTTTAACGCGTAGGATGACCCGATGATCGTCGCTGACCAACGCCAGAATCTTCGACGCTGCTGTTAAAAAATTTCTCCAAATAACCTTAACATACACCGCCGGTGAAAAAGGTTGCCACGCAACAATTTCCAGAACACTTTAATAAATAAAAATCTGCCGAAACGAGCTTAATTAACATCGATCCATAAAGAACCGGGGTAAATTGGCAATGTGGTCGCGAGCTTCTCTCGCCACCGGTATACACATATATACAAACCCGTTAAAACTCTAAATACGCACGAATGCAAAGTAGAAGAGGTTAAAAATGACTTCCTGCTAATGATTTACAAATAACAAATAATGTAACCCGGTGAAAAATTCCTCTCCGATGTATTCTCCACGTGCGCGATATTTCGCCGCGAGAAAGTGTACGAATTCTTTCCGTTGCAAACAAAGAAAAAAGGGGAAAAAAAACAACCCTGGAGAACAGAACGAGGGAGACGAAAGTTCAACAAAGAGTGAAAATTCCTGAGCGAAACGCACAGTCGTTAATGGCCGGTTTTTACGATCATCGGTCCATCCGGTGTTACATCGGCGGTCTGCAGACCGTCTGCGGTATCTCATCGGCGTGGAATTTACATTTTCGAGGAAGAGATACGCGGCCACACCAGCCAAAAGCCCCAGAGATAATTCCGCGGGTTGGGTCGCGCGAGACCGCGTAACACGTATCGCGCGGCGTGACGTGACTCACGCGGGACATTTTCAAACACGGTCACGTTTTGGCAAAAACAATGCACCTTATTACCAAGTACACCGGGGGGGTATTCGTCACATCCGTCCGTATGCAGGATCGTTTCCAGAACGTGATTTCCAAGAGTACCGGTTTCTAACAAAGAGGTGTTGAACCATATCGTTTTCGCCTGGCAGGAAGGGAATATGTAAATCGCGGTGGAAACGGGAGCGCCCGGTAGTTGATTTGTCCCGGCGTATTCCGGGAAAAGGAAATAGAATACGGTTTAAACGAACTTAGAAACTGCATCTACGCGGTGCTGCTCGTGTACTTTGTGTGAAAGAAAATTATTCGAGAAAGTTGGGAATCCGTTTTTTAACGCAATTTTACATTTTCGTGCGAAGTGTGTGAACAGATTAATTTTAATACTGAATTAAACTCGCACCGTGTGTCTACTTTATGATAAATTGTGAGAGCGAGGGGAAACTTGAAAATTTATTATTAAATGTAACTTCGCGTTAAGGAATATGAATCCTGTGGTAGTATGTATATTCAATTTTAATTATTTTTCCAATTACCCTACAAAGTGTGCAATTTTAGAGGAAAAAGAAATTGTGTCAATTCTGAGGCAAAAAGAATTTTGGAGTTATCCTGACTACGCGTTGGTAAAGTCGAACGTCGTTGCGAAAGGGTTGAGGTTATCTCGAATTTAAATTACCACCAAATTTTTACGATCTTTTTAATTCTTTCCTTTGTAATATACAGTAACACTCGCGTTTCGGGATAAAACAGAATTAAGTTAAATTTATAATAAACTTCAATTTTCACTCCGACTACAATGCCTATCTACAGACCAAAGATTATCTAATACAGATTATGTATGACATTTCACCATGTTCCACCTGATCCAATATTTAAACAGCGAATAGATAAATCTCACCTTCGCTATCGCTTATAAGTATTTGCTCACCCGTGTTCACATTATTCCTTATTGCATTTAACCAGCTTTCAAGGAAGATGTCAAGGATTTCACCAGCTTCGTGACCCTTATTTGAGAAAATACAGTTCTCTTGAAAAATCTATCAGATCTACGAACAAAGAGTGAAAATTATATGGGCAAATACTGAGAGTGAGATTCGTTTCGTTTACCTTTTACCTTTTGTTCATTGTGAACGAAACGGAGGATGCTCGCGAGATTTCGAAGAAATATAAAAATTGTCGAAGAACAGTAGACGAAAACAAAAACCTGCAGAGCCTTGTCTTGGAATTCTAATTCACAGTAACTCGTTGCATAACGTGCTACCCCTATTGCATAATTAATTAACAAGAGGGTCCTTTTTCGCAGGCACGTATCAAGGCCAATGGCACAACGGGTTGAGGCATGGTTACGGTGTAAGAGCCAGTGCACCGTTTGGATTAGCAAGTCACTACAAACCATCGAAGCAAGTCAGAGCATCCTTAACGTCTCTGAGAAGCGCGGACGATGGGGGAGCAGTGGCGCCAACCCCGGAGCCAACTGATAGAAGGGATCGTCGAGTCGGTGATAGCAGAGGTGGTTTCGTTTTAAAAGCCAGGAGCGACAATCCTCCAGCGCGCAGAAAGAGTCTCACGGAGAAATCACTGAAGAAGGGTATCCTCTCGGTAAAGCAATAATTTGAATCTCGCCTCATGTGTGATTCCACTTTCGAGAGAAAAGAAAGGGAATCTCTTTCCCGAGAGTAGACGTTTGAGAGATGATCGTTATTTCAGGGTTTGAAGATTCGAAAGCAGAGAAGCACGGGTGACCTGGAAAAACATGGAACCGGAGGCAGTATTAGGAGCAACGCTAGCTTCGCGTCGTGGATGTCGACAGAGAGCTCGCGGAGCCAGGCGTCGGCGTCCGTTCACACGGACAGCAATGCGTCCTTTGTCATCGAGGTGAGATAATTCTCGTGAAACCGTTTTGCGGTAGAATTCATCGTTTAGCCCTTTGATACCTTAAAGAGCACCTGGCGCACTTTTCACCCTTCGAAATTTTCAACGAACCTGTGTATAAAAATTCGAAGTAACTAAATTCACAATCGGTGAAATCGTTTCATTTAGATGTTCACTCGTGAAAGTGAAAATGAAGGAAAAATTCAGCCAAAGTTTCAAAGGGTTAAAAGTCTCTTTTAGTCTTCTACAAAAGAATATTCGTTTCTTCAGGACGAGCAGATGGACGCCTCCGTGACCGAGACGTACTTAGGAGAGTGGAAGAGCGACAAGAGGTCAGGCTACGGTATATCGGAACGTAGCGATGGCCTGCGGTACGAGGGTGCATGGTTCAATAACCGTAAGTACGGCTACGGTGTCACGACGTTTCGCGATGGCACGAAGGAGGAGGGCAAGTATAAGAACAACGTGCTGATCACCAGCCAGAAGAAGAAGCATCTGTTCCTTATCAGATCGGCCAAGTTCCGTGAGAGGATAGAGGCGGCGGTGAACTCAGCTCAAAGGGCGAGCAAGATCGCTCTTCAGAAGGCGGATATCGCGATCTCGAGAACAGCTACTGCTCGAGGAAGAGCAGAATTAGCGGACACCGCCGCTGAAGAAGCGAGAGATGATTCGGAGCTTGCTCAACAGACGGCGAAACAATTCGCGCCGGACTTTAGGCAACCGGAGCTGGAAAGGTTACGGAACAGAGAGATATCGAAATACGTGCCACCACCTCAAGACAGTGTTCCAGGGAAGAGTATTCTTCACAAGGCGGCCACCGTCGATCAGCCTGGCTCAACACCGATGAAGAGTCCAACGTCTGAGCAAACGACGAACACGTCAGCCACGTCAACCGCGAGCAACGTGATGCAATCGATTAGGAGAGCCAGCATGAAGCCGCAGAGTCAGCTGCAGCAGAATCAGATGATGCCCAATCAACTGCCTCAGAATCAGATACAGCAGAACCAGCTGCCGCAGAATCAACTATCTCAGAGCGAGTTGAACCAAGTGACCCCGGCTCAGCTGGTGAATCAGCTGCCTATGAATCAACTGAACCAGGCTAATTTGGCTGGACAGAACCTCTATCAGACGCAGTTCCCTCAGTCGATGCCTCAGAATCCTATGCAATACCCGAACAGTATACCTAATCAGTATCAGCCATCTAACCAGTTTCAAGGGGGTCAATACGGCATGCAGAATCAGTATCCTCTACAGGGTAGCCCATATAATCAGCCACAGTACCAACCAATCAGTCCACCTCAGGGCGATCAGTATTTGTACCAGCAGCAACAACCGGTCGGTCCTCAAGGGTATCCTAACATGCAGGCTTACCCTAATCAGCAGGTAATTTTTATTGGATTATTGGAGAACACTTTTGATAGCAGGTAATCAACGAAACAAATCTTTTGCTGGAATAGGTTGTTCTATTGCTGTTCATAATTATTAGGACACCCATTATGTTCGAACAGAAAGTATTGCACGAGCTAAATTACATTCCAATGATTCCAGGTTGGGTAATTTATTTTTAAGATCTTAATAATTTTCTAAGGATTGTTTGGGTTTGATTCACATTCAATGTGTGACCTAATACTTATGGACAGAAGTCTAGTACATGCACTGGATCAGAAACGGATATATGTATGTAGGAGTGCTGTTGAAAGAGTTCAGAGTGTCGATTTCATTCGATTTTCTTTCAGACTGCGTTGCCAAATCAGTATGGCTCTGGCCAGATGAATCAATACGGCTCTCAGCAATTGTACGGAAAACAGCAACAGCAACAACCACCTCCACAGCAACAAACACAAGTTCCACAGCAGTATCCGGCTGACGGTGTCGGAGATCCACAACGACCACCGAGTTCCACGAGTATACGAAGAAACAGCCGTATCCTGACGGCTCAGGATCGACCCAACACTATTGGACAGACGCTAAACGACAGGTCTCGAGTTCAGCTTTTATAGAAATGCTTTAACCCTTTGCTCCTCCGAGCATTGTTTGATACGATCGATCAGCAATCTTCAGCATACATTTGAAGTGAAGCTTTCGAAAGTCAATAATTTTGTTTTGGAAAGAAAGAATTATAAGTACATATGAATATATTTATTTTCATTTCTTTTGTTTATTTTCTCTATTTTAATGTAAATAAAACTTAAAGGTAGTTATAGGGATGCTAGTGGAGTGCAAAGAGTTGATATTCGATAATCAAAAAAATTCCTGCAATTTTCGATAGAAGGCAGTCAGGATTCACAAACAGCCATTAGTAAATCGATGCATTTCGATTTGACAAGCACTGTTCTTCCTCTGGTGAAATGTTCATCGAATCGAACGTAATTCAGGGTTTATTTATCATTCATTCAACGAGAGAAAAATTGCAGGAAACATTTTTGGTCGCCTGGACAGAAACAGTTTTAAGGTTTTGTGTTTTTACAGGATTTTCGAGTTCGACTATTTTCGTTTGATTTTAAGTAGCACGTTTATAATTCAACGAGTTTTCGTGTTTCGTTTTACAGACTAGATCACTATAAGGTGCCGCCCAGCCGTGGTAGTTCCGTAGATCGTTACGCTAGAGCGCATTCCCGGTTGACTGGATCGAGACAGCCGTCCATCGATAAGACCGTCACAAATCCGCCCCAGGACATGCTCGACAGGTGATTCAAAATGTTCTTGATCCCACAAGACATCGATCTGGATCACTCTTCCTCAATTACCATAACCTTCGTCTTCTATCTTTGGATCTTAACGAGGTCGTTTTAGAAATTTAACGAACCATCACTCGAGCACAATAATAATGAAACAATTCAACCAGTGCTAATAGAAATAGCAATATGCACTGATCTATAAATCTAGAACCTCTTCCATCTCGTTTCCATCAGCTGCTCAAAGAAATTAATTTACAAACCGAACATGTTCACAATTAACCCTTTGACTGCTGGCTATTCGAAAGTAAAGCACTCAGTACTCAGCACTGAGGGAGATAAAGATCTCGAATCTGCTTTGATGTAAACACAAACCATATAAACTCCTCTTAGTCATTTTTTCTTACAATACTATCAGAAATAGTTGACATGTTCATTATAAGCAAGACACTTTGTATAACTCAAAGGACCAACTGTGGACTTAATTGTGAATGAAATCATGAACATGTTTATGAAAGATTGCGAGCAGAAATCAGAAATATCAATTCGTGTGTTACCTATGACCTTAATGCCTCAACTTACGACCTCGCTACATCAATTCCACCACCTATACACATTAACCATTTGCAACAATTTATTTCCTAGAGTTCAGGAGTTTGCCCCTGGAAGGAGTGCGAGTCTGGTTGAGTCGTATCCCCATAAGGCCACCTTTTCTAATACAATAGTAGTATCGGGGCCTCCATACCCAAATAGGAAACCTCGAAGGGAGAATAGAGAGGGAGTAGTTGGCGTAGTGCGCGAAGCCGAAGGTCCCGGATTCGATTCCCGTGTTTGGGTCCCTCGAAATTTTTCCGTCGGTTCTTGCACAATCATAAAAATAGGGCAGACGTATTGTCATTATTGGCCGAACGCGATATCATCGACGAATCGGATCATATAGCATCGCGTGGCGGAAGATTCAGGAAATGCAAGCTCCTCTTGCCCCTGTGTCGCCCCGCGGGCAAACTCCTGAGCGTCGCTCAGTACTGTCCTACGCTGAGAAGATGACGAGTGGAAGAAATGCGGGTCTCGTTGGTTGTAGCGGACGACACACTCGTTAAGTCAGAGATCACACGCATTTTGATTATTGGCTGAAACGGTCACATTTACTACTCCCCTTGCCTCTGTGCCGTCCCGCTCGTCGTCTTCTCAGCGGCGCCATAGTACATATACCTAAACATCGGAAGCAGTCAACGTGAAATAAAAATTACGATCAGAGGATGATTGAATTTCTCGATTTACAAAATTCAGATCAACAAGAGCACCTAGCTCGATGCGATCAGGCACACCGCTGAACGGATCCGTGGTGGGCAGCGGTGCAGCGACGCCGACGTATGCAGCCTCGACTTCCAGCCAGTTCGATGGCTCGATCCTGAAGGAGGGACTTCTGACGGGTTCAGGACAGCCTAAGCGTACGGAGAGCTTATACGTCACGCCCGGACGCGGCTCGACCGCATCCGGTGGCGGAGGCGGCGGCGGCGGCGGGGGCGGCATGTCGAAGGTGAGTCTCTTCCTCTTTCATATATACACTCACTATCCACCGAATAAATATTACATTCGCATATTCCTGACTCTCTATTTTGTCACGCGACACCGGCGTCCTCGCACTTTTGCGTCACCAGGCCCGAAAAGGCAGCCGCTGGTTGTTTGGATCTGTAGCTGAAGTTCCACTTTGGCGATTAACACTGTTGGACTCTCAATTTTGTACAATGATCTATTTCGGAGATTTCGCGAATTATACAGGGTGTTTCGGGCGTAACGAGCACTCAAATTATTTCCGTTGCTATTTAAGGTAAGAAAATACGACCGAAGGAGTTTCCGATGAAAAGAAAGTCACCTGAAGATCATCGATATTTTCTTTGGCATATTAATTATTATTATTATTTTTACATTGTTCGAAGTCATTTCGAGGTTATTGTGTCATAGGTCGTTGAACTCGTCCCGATGTTGGCTGTAACGTAGCATTACAAAAAAAAAACTGGTATTGATGTATAAAATAATGTCAATAACCTTGGAATGACTTTAGCATCACTAGATGCACGTCATCGAACCATATAAACTCCTCTCAGTCATTTCTTTCTCACTTCCAATAGCCCGTGGAAATAATTTGAATGAACGTTACAAGTGAGACGTCCTGTGTATTGTATATAATTCTTAATCTTGATATTTTTTTGTACATAATCATTTTTTGTATAATTATATTGTATATAATTTTTAAGATTAATTCCATTTTCTGTTTCGTTCTTCTTTTTCTTCCTTTGTTTCATTTGTCGCCTGGAATTGCTTCAGTTAATACCATTTGTGAATGTTGAATATTTTGTATTGAAACTTTGTTAAGATTTTGTAACTTTTAACTTTTGAAACTAGAATTGGGAGTTCTCGTGAAAAATGTTCGCGGTGCTACTATTGTGTTTAATTCTAATCCTTTTTTCTTAATCTTCTTCTCCTCCTTTATTTTACTCTGTATTCTCGAAGTAAACCTAACCTCTCACGCATTGTCTATACCACTGTGTTTACATGTACCTGTTCATTCGTTCATTTTGCATAACGAAGATAAATAATGGTAATAATACAAGCCTTTGATATGGGTTACGAATAAAATTATTCTCAATTTAACATAATCCCGAACCTATTTCACAAACGATGTGCGTTCATTTAGAGATTGAGAAAGATCCAAACAAATTAGCAACTTCCTTTTCCTACCGACCTCCCCTTTAGTGCATCATTCAGGCCTCTGTCACCGAGACTCTATTCACCGAGGCCACCCCATGGAAGACAATTTCTCCCGGGAAACGTTCGAGAAACTTCTGCTTCGGAAGGCTGAGAAATTCGCGCCGCGAACAAGGAACGCGCTTTCGAGTTTTTCGTTGTAACGCGAGCACGAGACGCTTTTTCGAAGAGTGTCGTTCAAAAATACCGCCGGATGTTAAACAAGATAACAATCGTTCGCTGTTACTCGTTCATTCACGCTTCCATCGCGGGAACATTAAGAATTTATAGCCGGCAATCTCGCGGTAAGGAAACGAGACAGAGAGAGTTTTCTCGTGAAAGGAAATGCCTTTCGAGCGACGCAATCGTTTAGACAAGCCTACCAAAAAAGAAGAGAAGGAAGAAAAAGAACGAAAAGAGTAGAATTTCACCATTCACCACGTAGCACGATTTTATTTTATTTTTTTTTTCACGAGATCAAACTACTTATTTTATTACATACACCTTCGATTGCTCACTTTGTTTATTTTCACAATTCTCGATTATTATATCTGTTTTGCCTGCTCATTAACCGCATCGTACGATTTTTCTCTGTACATCCATGATCTCTAACCAGTTTAACGTAAATAATCGTACATGTACATATACTTAATCATTTATTCAAATATATCTCGCTGTGCAGCTCACACGCATAGTCGTTAGTTAGCGAACGTAATTAGGCAAGCATCACGACGTTTTTCTTTTTCTTTTTCACCTCTACTATCCACTGATCGGTGCTGTTTCGTGTCGCCTAATCGACTTTCTCCATCGTCGACCGAAGAAAAACGAAATCTCGCCAAGCGAAATCAGACACATTTTCACAGGAATATATCCAGCCATCGAGGCTCTCCGAGAGGACATGTATACAGGGTGTTTCCGGGCACGAGTGGATTCCTTGTGAAAAGATAAATCCAGAATAACGATGTGCCTGTTCGCGGCTTCGTTTTCCAGAAAATTAGGTTTGAAATTTCTTCTCGAACGTGTGCACTTGCCACGCTTTCGACTTAACAGATTCCACTGTACGTTGGTATTTCAACAACGTTGCGAAGGATACTGATTGATACCACATTTTAGCGAAATCGAAACTTACGTTAACACTAGAAAGACCAGCCGGGTCGAAATGACATATTAGTATCTTTCCAAAGGTAAATTTTTATGTAATTTAACCCTTTGCACTCCTGTGTCGAGTGTGACTCGACATCAGTTTTATTCACAGGTCACACTCGACATTTTTACATTGCCAGTTTAAATATGTATTATATTTCGCAATATTTTTTTTATACTGAGATAAGCAGCATTACATGTCCAATTGTTACAGAAAAGTGTCATATACGTGTATAAGCAATTGTTTACATTGCTTCCTATCAACCAATTGTCCCTCGAAGTACTTTTTAAATGAAGCACATAAAATAATGCGGAGTTATTGGAAAAGAAATGAAGAAAGAATTCAGAGTGCTAAGGGTTGAAACGTGATTAAAAAGTTAGTCTCATATTGATACAAATAGAAATGAACGGAGAGGAAACAAAGTCAAACCTAAAATTCATTTTTTTTTGGAAAGTTGCTAATTGATCATTTTAACCCGGCCGATCCTTCTAGCGTTAATGAAGAAATTGCTGAAATTGTTGCTCGTCGAATCACGGAAGCACGAACCGATGCCGATAAATTTGCAAATTCTTTAATGTGACACCAAGAAAAGTCAAAAGAAGTGCGATAAGCGTACGCGAAGAATTCTCAAACTTAATTTTTCCAAAAAACGAAGCCACAAACAAACAAATCGTTATTTTATATTTTCAATTTATCATTTGATAAACAATCCACCCATGCCCGGTTGTACTACTCGCACTGAAACACCCTGTACATGTATATATATTTCCCCTTTCTCTCTCTCTCTCTCTCTCTCTCTCTCTCTTTCTCTCTCTCTCTCTCTTTCTAGTCCAAAGTGTATTTAATCATAATTAACCCCTAAAACCTATTATCTGGTACCTGATCCCGAGAATAACCTAAGGCAACTGGTTTTCTCTGTATCTGTATCTTTTCTTCTCTGTCGATTTGTTTGTCTGTGTAACTGTGTGGCATTTTGTGCTGTGTTCTGTGCATGCCATCCCAGGACGCAGGCCGGACGGTCCCCGCCTTCGCCGCAACGTCAAAGGGCCGCGCAACCCTATGAGTATAAGTATTATAAATAAATATGTACACACACACCTGCGATAGGTCGCGGTATTCCTCCTAACGAATGAGTCGAGGCCAGAGACTTTTAAGAGGGATGATGCAGCTCGTGACTAGACCCTGGATTCAAAAGAAGAACAAAAGGGTGATGTGCTCGAGGGTGGGAAGGAAAAAAAGAAGGGTGGAGGAGAGTAGTAAACCCTTGATGTACACTGTCGTTAACCGTTTGTCTAACGAAGCTAATTTAGGGATTAAGATCGAGATACTGGTACACGATGGATCCATGAGTAATGGTAGTTGCTTGTACGAGGGGGCTGGTCCGAAGTTTCCGGAATTAGGGTTGTACGGTTGAATACAGAAATATTATTGCGGGTGTTATTGTGAAATATCTGCAAGTTTATTTGTCCAATTTTGAAAAATATCTGCAAGTTTATTTGCCAAAGGACAGGTATTAATCGTTTCTCCTTGGAAAGGGGAAGAAAAGGAAAAATAGGTTTATTCAGGGATTATTATTTTTTAATTTTTTGTGAAATTAAACGGACTGATGCTATTCCTTTCTCTTTGGAAAGGGGAAAAGATAGAAGAATAATTGTTTGAAAAATAGTTAGGATGACCTTTGTTTCAATTTCACGCATAAATTAGTGTTTTATTAATAACCAGATAATACGCAAGTATGTAAAATACACGAGAGTAACTTTAAAAGCTCTTGATAATCCATAGATGAATGTATAATATCATAGTACGGTCAATAAGATTGTAACTTTACTTTCGTGTATTTTCCATATTCAGATGATATTAAAATTGCATAAAAATCCTCGATCTACGTATAACAATAAAACTGCTTTAAAAATGTTTCAATTTTTACAGAAAAGATTCAGGAATTTTTTGGCTGCTCTCTCGTACATCGTTCGATGTAACATAGTGTATTTAGTGTTCCTATAGAACTCAATGTTACCACAGGGTATGCAAACGTTGTGTTCCAACTTAATGGTCTAAGGGTATCACTGCTTGCATGCTTCTTCGCCAGAAAATCAGACATTCTTAGCATCATCATCAGAATCTAGGGTCTACTCACTACGAATAAAAATTGCTACCAAAATAATTCCACCGAGCTTTCAACGAACGATACACCAAGCATTCCAACCTCCGTGTCGACCAACAAATTAACCATTCCAAAAGAAGAAAAAGAAAAGAAACGTACACATTCCAACACGCGATTTTTTTTTTTCGTTCGCGCGAATCGATCAAACATAGACTCGCTGGATGTTTGAACGGACTCGACTCGTTTGGGTGGTACATAGGGTGACGTTGTGTAACGCTTCACAGTTTACAAAAGCAGTCTGGGCCGGAACCATTGTTTGGTATGCGTCCAGAGAGAGAAAATATTTTCAGATCGACGAAAAGCGATCGCTTGTAACGCCAGACCGGGGCATTAGGGTAAGGTTATAGCCTAGAATGGTGTTGAAAACACCAGTGCTTTAACCGCGATAAACTTACACAGAGAGTTAGCTTTACGTAACGCAGAAAAAAAAAAAGAAGAAAATTCGCGGAGCAAATTGACGACAAGTGTGACAATTTTGCAGACAAGAAAGTATGAATCATCGTTGCTTTTTCTCCTCACAGTCAGATATTTCAAAATGTGTCACCCCATAGTAATGCCGCGAGTCACGGGTTGAACGTGTTCGTTCCTCGTAAAAATCCTCCGTGCAAATTGAGAGGTGTTTGCCGTAGCTCTGTTTACCTGGTTTCTCTCTCTCTCTCTCTCTTTCTGCCTATCTCGAGCATAAATCATCGCCACGATATGGTCGCTGTTTGTAGCCTTACCCTAACACCCTGGACATTCTCGAAGGTGTGAATTAGCCGAAGAAGAACTTCGTACCTGGTCGTAGAATTGTTACTAGCTACTATGTAGATTATTCGCGTTTGATGATCGATAGCCAGTTAACCCTTTCAGTCGAACATTCAACCGTCGCTCCGTAGAAAAGAAAAGAAGAAAAGAAATCGTAGGTAATCGGTTAGATCGATGTGAAAATTCATCGAGAAGAGAGCACGAAGAAAAGAAGAACAAATATATATGACTTTTCTTTTTCGAGGTGCAGCGTGGGAAACAGTATTATCAAGGCTGAAAGGGTTAAATCGAATTTGGGCATTGAATGAAGCGAGCAAAACGTTCTTTCCGCCTTCTTGTCAAGAGACAGAGTTATTTTTCTATAAGAGAGAGCACACAATAGATGTAGTAGAATGGATGAACGAATATTTATGAGAATTTTGCACCGGATCGAGGTGCAGACCGCGAGATCTGTGCACAATTTTGGTGTATTGCGGCTCGTTCGACTGGACGACCCCGTCCATATAGCGGAGACGATCAGAATTTTTCTGGTGGATCGAGGTGCTTGAATTAGAACTCTCGTTTCGAAAACAAAGCAAAAGAAGAAAAAAAAAAGAGAAAAATGGGAAAATATATATTGTGAAAGACGCAATAATATCGAGGAAAAATATTGCGGAAGTGCGGATACGATTGCGAAGATGTCGTTAATGAGAAGAGAAGAAGAAGAAGAAGAAAACGATTCGCTTTAATTCTATCACGCTTTCGTGTCGATCGCGTGAAGTGAGAGCAGCCATGTTGCTCGAACCGATAATTCGAAACACTTGTACCATTTAATTCTTCCTTTCGTTTGTTTTTCTTTTTTTTTCTCTCTCTCTCTCTAATTTCTTCCTCGAAAAATACTTCTTTTTTCTAACGAATGAGATCGGCTGATCGAAAGAGACGAGCACGCACCTTGACACAGACACAGAACGCACAGAAAATGATTTCCACTCACTGAGAATACGGTGTGTTACGTCCATTAATTAAGCGAAGTAACGTAACGATGTTACGTCCATTAATTAAGCCAATCAAGGAAACCGAAAGGTAAGGTTCGCGCGGTGTGGAGGCGGGGACCGGTTCTTTTTGCCAATTCTCTCTCTCTCTCTCTATCTCTCTTTCTTTCTCTCTCTCTTTCTCCCCTCTCTTTCTCACACACACACACACACACACACACACATTGACTAACTGCTATTTTGTCCGTTTCTTTCTTTCGTTTCTTAACAAGCTTCAAACCCTACTTTTTTTTTCGAACCAACTCTTTTCTTCTGTCAATGGCAACCCCCTTTTTCTATTCCCCTTTCTCGAATGCTACGTTCTCCGTCTCTGTTTATCTTCATTCGTCCATTGTTTGTCGGGTGTTTAATTGTATCTCGAATGCGTTCTCTTTTCTCGAAACCCCTTTACACCAGAAGACGTCACGTTTTCTATGTTCCAAATTCCTCTTTACGTCCCACGTAATCACTTGTGGACATTTCTCACTCGTGACTTCGACGACAAAAGGCTTCTCTACTACCCTCCACCTCCACGCCGCTTGTTTTTCTCCTGTTTTCTGATCAGAAACATTATTTTTCTAACGCATGCTTCTATGACGTAGCGTCACTCTTGTAAAGTTTATGATATAATTGTACCAGTTCCACGAGATCAAATACGTGTATAAATATGAATAACAGGGTGATCCGTGTGTCGCTTTAACGTTTGAAAGTTCAACGAACTGTTCCTGTTTCAATTATGTCTTTATTTTTTCTATGATAAAAATGTAAACTTTGCTCCCTCGTGAATTTTTCCGTAACAAATCTTCGAAGGACAAATTTAACAATTATTCAACTTTTAAATGATAAAGCGACTTATGGCCCACCATGTATACATTCATATATATATTTATATATACACACACACACACACGTACGTATTATATATACATACACGTATACACATATATTATATATACATATATATATTTCGTACATATAAGTAACGAGGAAACATCGTAGTGTGAGATGATTATGATTATTATTTAGGTGGTAATAATGTACGAATGAACAACGATGATAACCCTTTCGAGATTCTGAGAGATTACTTAATCTCTAATCTATCACAATTCCTTCTGAATGCGTCAAAAGGTGAAATTCGTAATTAACAATAGTAAACTATGTTACAGAATTTAGAAAAAATTTTCGTTACACTTGCAAATACGATAAATTTCCGTCTGATTTCTCTCCCTTTCCTCTTCTCTTTATCTTCTTTTTCTCAAAGCTCGTAAGACTTTCTCGAAGGGGTTGATCTTTGTTGACAAAACCAAGCACAAATGTCGGTACCAAATGTGCATTATGAATACGTAAATTTAATTCTCGACGTACCTCTGAAACACGTACACGAAAATACACAAACAATAAGATTCCTCTCGTCGAAGTGAAAACGACGCAAGGGAGTGTAAATTTTTGCGCATTAGGTACGACCCCACCAAAGTAACACGCAGACACACGTTTAAATATTATATCGGAATTCTCTATTTTAATCACGATTTTTCACAGTACAATTTACGAACGCCTTTCTCATGCACCACGTTGAATTTCTCAAAGAAGAAAAAGCAAAAGAAGAGAAACACAGACACACGTACATACGTACAATTACGCTACTCAAGGATAATTAAAACAGAGTCAAAGCTGCTCACATTTCGACGAAACATAATGATAATAATAATAATGCTAATGATAATAATAAATGATAATAATAACAGACATTGAATTCTAATCGCGTCGCGCGTTGCTCAAAATGTACACGAACTCTCGAGGTAATTAAGAATTTTTACGGACAAATTTCTAACCCTTTCTATACACGAACGAGATCAAAATGAGCTTTTTCACGCGAAGAAAAAAAAGAAGAAACAAACGTTTGTTCGCGATTCAACGTGGTTGCAATTATACCTCAACAACGGTCGTGCCTAAGGAAACGAGACAAATTTCAAAAACGAAAAAAGCGAAAGTAAAAAAAGTGACGATTACGAGATATATATATACGATCGAATGAAACCTGGAGAAAAAGAGAAAAAGTCGGAAAATTATGATAAATTTCAAGCTTGAAATTTTCAATCTCCCCAAGTTCCTTGACCTTTCGAACTACATTTTTACGCGGAGCTAATGGTTTGTTCAAGTGCCAAGCTTTTCGACCAGTGTCTTTCCACGAGAGTATTGCAACGCAACGCGATTCTACTGAAATTCGATCATTTTCTCGTTTACCATAAATTCAACGACATAATCGTGAATATTTCCACAGGCGTTTTCTATCAGATTTGAGAGAAAAAGCAGCTACGTTGCGTCGATTTGTCGAATTTCGTTTTTGCTGTATTCGCCATTGAAACGGACAAAGAGGAAGCTTTCTCTAGGGAAAAGTTGAATAAGGTGTTTCACGATATTTCACGTATTTTAATATAACAAAGACGATTTCGTAACGCCGCATTAGAAACGCCTGATCAAGAGGTAGCAGGCGAGAAGTCCTTTTAGATTGGAAAACAGATCGATACGCGAGAATAGCCGATGCATACGCTCGACAATGCACATAACTCTTCCAGGTTGCATTTCGAGGAACATAGTGACACAGAGGGGGAGAGAAACCTTGTTGATCACACTAAAAAAAAAAAAAAAAAAAAAAAAAAAAAAAAAAACGTTGGTTCGATGTACTGAATGTATTTATGTATACGATGTAAAAGCTGTTAACTGGCCGACAGATTAAACAAGCATGTCGATTAGGAGGACGGTTTTGCTATCTGGAATTCACGAAACCTCGAACAATCCTCCTTGACCTCTTACCGAAAAATAATTCCGATTAATTCACATGTGCGCGGTATCATTTTCTTGCAAATTCCTTGCTTTCGTTCGGCAAAAGAAAGAAAAACAAAAAAAGAAGACACTTTCCTCCATAGTAAATTCTCTTCGAAGGCTTTCGAAGACTTTGCGAACGTTTTTAGCTTAAAGACACAAACAGCTTCAGGAATTCGGCAAGAAGACAAATTTTTCGTTACACTTCGCATAACGGGGTATCCTCGTTTAATTGGTACACAGGCTCGGATGCCAAGAAACGCGTACACGCAGCAAAGACAATACGTATTGGCGTGGATACAACGGGCGATATTTTCGGTAGCTGAAATCGAGGGAAATACAAGGACTTTTGAAAATTTATCGTCGGGGTTGGGTTTGCAGAAAATCATCGACGGAATCTCTGTTTCGATTTCGTAAACGAAATGAAAATTTCCAAACGTAAAAGAAGGGGAAGATTAAATCGTAAAGCGATGTAGCGATCCGGAAATGATCGTCAGGTTTGCAGAGAATCTTCGACGAATGGGTGTTTCGATTCTACAAACGAAACGAAACCCTCGTTGGTGTAAAAGAAAAGGAAGAATAATTAATCGTATCGCGATCTTTTGTCGCGATTCGATCGAGTCGCTCGAATTTGATCGCGAAGTTGGTTCGTTGAAATATTTATAAAGTATCGATGCGTGGTTCAATCCGGATTACAACGACGTAAACAAGAAATTTGCAATGCAGAAATGTGAACCCCAACGTAGCCATTGGAAAATCTATTTACACTTTTACGATCGTTTGTTCCTCGGTTGAATTATATCAATGGAGCTATATCGAAACATCGACGAGTCAACGTCCTTCTAAAGGGTTAATTATTCGTTAATTACATGTGCGAATTAGTTGGCCGAGGGTGTGGATAAATATGCGTTCGGTTGCTCGTATCGAACGCTACGTTTTCGTGCCCGATAGAAAAGAATGGAAAATGTACTGGGCGCTGGTAATAAAAAGATATCGTACGACGAGGGGGCAAAAAGGAAGGAGAGGGAAGAAATAACAAAAGCACAACGGTTACCTTGCATAATGATAAGCACGCGGGTCAAGAGACCGAGGCAATAAAGAGTACACATGCAGCGCGAGATATCGCGTCGATTAACAAGGTTAATTATTGCTGCGCCAGGATTAAAATTCGATAATTAATCGACCGGGGAAAACAAGTGCCCGAGACGATTAACCTGGTAAATACGAATACGTGGTCGGGAAAATTGGGTAGAATTTATTTTGAATAAATTAAGCAACTTCATCTCGCTGAAAAGAGAAAAAAAGACAGAAAGATTGCTTCGTGTAATTATTTTTAACAATGCTCCAATTATTCCTCCTCGTAATGCAAAACAAATTAATACATAAATGTAGCATGTAAAATTAAGAACTGAAATATTAACTCGAGGAAGCACGAGGGAGGCTCAAAAGATGTCCACAAAATTTTAAACTTCAGTTTTTCTTCATTAAATAATTTTTGCAGGCCCCAGAAATATACTCTTTTTTAAATTGAAATTAAGTTAAACCTTCCAATAGCTCGGTCTTCGTAGGGTTAATTTATATATCGAATGTTTCCTTCAAAAAAAAAAAATGAATATTAGTAGAACTGTTATTCTGTTTACGTAAAAAATAGAATTAAATATAAAATCACAATTTTCTTAATAAAATTATTGAGAATTAGATTATTGAGTTTACTTTTTTTTAATTGAAATGACATTATAGTTTCTAAAAATTTTAAATTCAACCTTTTAATACCTTTGGCTTTTCGCAAATAATTTAGATATCGAATGTTTCATTGGAAAATGAAGAATATTAGTGGAATTGTTACTCTGTTCGCTTGAAAAGTAGAATTCAAATATTAATTCAGCCATCGAGTGTTTCGTTGGAAAAGGAGACAGAAAACGAACATTCGTAGAATCGTCGTTCTGTTCACGTAACAGATAATAGAAATTATAATGGTTCGGCTGTTTCGCGAAACAGGCCGGGAGCAGCGGCGTCGCGACGCAATAAGGAAACAAGTAGCCACAGATAAAGTGGGACGAGTCCCATTTTGGCAATTCTCGAAAACCTCGACGACTTTATTCGCATGCCAGCCACGTGAATCACCCGGTACGAATTGCGAGTTCGACTTTATTTGCGTAACGATATTTCCGGTCGTGTTTCGGCCATGAACGTCCCTCAAAGAATCCTCTTTAACCGCCCCTGCGTCATCCTGTCCGCCATCTTTAAGCGTCAGCTGTTGCATGGCTCTGTATACTTACGTTCTCCATTCAAGCTTTACAATCGAATCAAATCCGTTCTATTTCCTCTTACATGTACGCCACAGTGGAAAATTTCACGCGACATTTTATCGGTCAAATCCACGGCAAAAATTGGAAACGTTGAAAAATTTCACCAACACGGTGCAACTCTAACCTCTAAACACATTCGAAAAGATTTTTCACGTAAGATGAAAACGAACCTGCTCGATCCTCCCCCTCTCTCTCTTTCTCTCTCTCTCACGTCAATTCGACGAAAATAAATGACGCGTGCCACGGGAATCCAAGTTCAATGCTGAAACGAAAGCAAACAGCTCTTTACGCGATGGCAGGATCAACATCCGGTGTTGAGAACGGGGCTCGACTAAAAATACCAAATCGATAGCTACACCGTTCGATAGATAGTGGATTGTACACGGTGAAAAAAGGAAAAGAAAATCGAACAACTCCACCGTGTGACTTCGAAACGAAGCTCGGTACCATTTGACGACAGGCTGTCATAAATCAAAGAGCAACGGATCGACAAGGCTCTGGCATCCGTCGTCGGTTCATAGCCGTGAGCGTCGCGACGCGACGCGCCGCTCGTCGATGCTATTTCGACGTGAAAATAGTGGGGCGTCTCTCTATTTCGGTCAAACGAGCCAGGGCCGTTCAGTCTGCGGCCTGGCTTCCTCACCAGGAGGCCGCGGGTCCGAATTTTCCATTTTCACCGTCGTGCACAAAGAGAGAAATAAAAAAAAACGCTCGTTCCAGACGACATCTGGAGAGAAGAGGGTAGCCGTAACGTCGAGGGAGACCGCATAACAGGCTGACTTTTTAGTCCTGTGCCTGTGAGAGACGAAAGATAAAATGTTCAGATAAGGTGGAAAGGTGGAAGAAATCATAACAACGACCGGTGTTTCGAACGAACTCAAACTTCTCGACCGTGAACTTAGATAAAAAGAGAAAGGGGGAGAGAGAAAGAGAGAGTTTTCTTTTTTTTGGAAAACGAAAGGATCTCGAAGAGGTAGAAATGTTGTGGTCAGAGCCTGACGAGGAGGAAGAGGCGCTACTATGCAGCCCTGCTCTGATGGCCAGGAGAGCCTCTGAATCATGGATCGTCGCACCTCCTGTGGAGGTACGAAAAAAAAATCCTCCGAATACTGTCGAATGAACCTTTCAAAGAGTTTTTTCTTAGGTCGAGATCCGAGTTGAGGGTGAACTTGACCTCTTTGGAAGAGGTTTTCTGTCTTAACTGTTTTCGTATAGTAGGATACGATTTAATCAAATGTGAAATCTTAGGACATTTTTTTATTATCACGCTTTCATTGTTTAAGGCAAACGTATGTGTTTCACTGGTACTGCTGGTTTTTTGTTATACCTTAATTGAATCAAGTTTTCTGCAACAGATTTTTCACGTGTATTTCACGACTCTTTCACCGTGTAGTCAAGTATATATTTGGAAATTTTCTTTCTTTGTTTGCTTTCTTGAAATTTCTCGTCAATTTATTACATTGTAAACTGATTAAAACTCCTAATTCGATTACCTATGTAAAAGTGTAATCCTAAATTGTTCTTCTATATGAAAATACGTACGATAGGTAAATTCAGACCGCTTTAATTCACGTATAAATTAGAGGAGAGTATACTGGAATAATATTAGACTGGAAAAATGAGAATTTTATTAATTTTATCGGTGAAAGATTTCACGTATTAATCATTGTGATACTGTGAGTCAGGAGGATAACAAAGATTCTTCCGCATAAAAGAACTTCAGTTACTCAAGATTCACCGGGAATCACAGAAATAGATAACCAGCGACTGTCCAGGGAGATTACCGCGGAAGAAATCGTTCGATAAGCCGAGGTTGATACCGCGCGGGAAGGATTCGCGGCAGAGAGCGCATCGGGAATAAAAGCCGGGCTTTTCTCCGTAGATATTGCGTGACATTATCGGTGCAATTTACAGTGCACTGGAGGAATAGCCTCGAAAGAGCAAAAGAGTCTCGTATGACCCGTGACAACAGATAGATGCGAAGAAATAAAACGAGTCAATGTGATTGAGGCTAATTAACGATATCTGAAGACATTATCGAAGAGGGGAACATGGGCGCCGGTCTAATTTTACGCTTGCTAAAACATGGGAAATGTTAATCGTTAATTTCTCATCTTTGAAGAATTATTTGAATTATTTTACGGAAATTTTTATGAAAATTTTCTTTTCATTTCCTTGTAGAAAGAGTAATTCATGGAAACATGATTACAGTTTAAAGGTCGATTACATTGCTGTTATGCATCGATAAAAAGAGTCACGTTTCCCGATTGAATAATCTCTTTAACCGGTTTCTTATCAATTTTTCCGTGAACTGAGAAGAAAAATCGATGACGAAGGTCAACGCATCGCGTTAACCGGGATTCGAATTCCTGGCCTTTGCATCATTATTACGTACGATTACGAGCGAGGTTGCACGTTTTGGAACCGGTCCAAGGATTCCTTGTCGTTCTCCCTTCGTCGCCCTGTTTTCTCTGCTTCTTCAAAATCTCCAACTAATGAACACGTAAACGTCCCCCGGACCTCTGAGCCGCGCCAAACAGAATTTCGAGCTGCCTGTGACATGGTACTGCGACCTTAAAACCATTCTGACTGGCGAACCTTAACCTTAACCACCATTACTAAAACAAAATACAGGGTGTCCTAAAAAAAACGTCTTAAAATTAATTTCAATAAGCAACTTTCATTGTAATTAACCGAAATTTTGCGCTAATTTCTCAAAAAAACGGTCCAAATCCTTGAAAGGAACGAACGTAAAACTAACTCTTGCTACTTCCTTGTGAACATAAACGTATCTTTTCCTGATGTTTCGTAACGGTCGATAAAAACATGAAATCTCGTTAATCATGATTCATCAGAGATATCTCGATGTTTCTTAAGTCGACAATTAAAACGAAAATTAGTATGGAAGAAGTAAATTGCCGAATTCCTGACACAAATGTGGAGATTGTTGAATAAAGGGCCTTTTATCGGTCCGACGACACTTCTTCACAATGTATACGTGCATCCATAGAAATAAGGCTTTATATACACGATCGATCGCGTTCAAGGGCCACCTCTCTCTCTTTGTTTCTCGTTTCTTTTCTTCATACAGGCGATGCCCGCGGCGGCAGTGTCCCTTCAACGAAAAAAATCACTGCCGGATGTGGCTCAACCTATTCAGTTGACAGCCACGGCACCGCTATCCAGGGAGGAAGTCAGTGTCCTGAGCAGCATGAGGAGAGAAGAGATCCGCAGGCAGATCGACGAGAGCGAGAGGCTCAGGGCCAATCCTCTGCTGTACTTGGTCAGTCCTCAGGTTAAAGTGAGTATCTTCATTGTCAACGTTAAAGAGGTCAACTACGATTTCTTCAGGAATTCACTTTCGTCCCAAAAATTCAAAATTCCAATTTGAAAGTTTTCAATTCAAAATGCAAAGTTTCGAATGCAAATTTCAAATTCCAAGTTCAACTTTGGACATCAAGTTGAAAAGGCCAAAATGAGTTTCCCGCCAGATGTTTCCTAACGGCGCGAGGTCTAAAATTCCGGTTCAATGCAAATAACTCCGGCCAGTTCTACATTACAATATATAATTACACGGGTGTCTAATTAGACACGTAAATGTATTTAAGCGGAGTGTCGTTCGATAATACCCCCGCAAGCGGTTCGCCGGGTAAAATGAGTGTCAAAGCTTTAATTAAACCGCCGCCGTACGGTCTCCATTCTGCTCGCCAAATTTATCCGGACCTTCACGATTTTTCGTGGTCCCGTAAATGAATCGATCCATCAACGAAAAGTATCTCAAAGAGATCTTACCAATAATGTAAATCGTCGCGAAAAAAAAAAAAAAACGAAAGAATATTTCAGGAAAACAAACAAGAGAACGAAATAAATTGTAGCCCCGTAGAATCGCAAATCGTCAGATTACGTAGATCATAGAATTAGACGCAATATACTGGGTGCCAGGACCTTGGAAAAAATGAAAGAGGGGAGACAACATCACGCTCGAATTGACGACGCAAAAACGCTCACTTCTTATCGGATGATTGCAAGAGTAGGTCGCACGAGTATCGATACGCGATTATGAATGTTTAATCGATTCAGCCGCTTCGAATATCCGGCCACCGCGGGGCATCCTTTGAATTGCAATCGTCTTGTATACATACGCAATTTTCTTTCCCGTGAAAATACGTGTCATCATATAAATTCATCGCTCGTCTTTCGACCTTTTCATTCCCTCCTTTTCACCCGAGAAATAATGAAAAGTTACAATAAAAATATTCTCAATTAAAACGATCTTCTCTTTAAAAAAACAACAACACACATCGTTCACGCTTGTTAATTAAAAACGTCGTTTCACTCGTAACACATACATACACTTCTTCAACAAATTATGAAAGCAGACCTTTCTGCTTGCTTATTTGCATAGCCAGGCTGTAAACTCCTTGAACTCGCTATGTTTTTACGTTAAAACATTATCACTTGTCCATGAATCTTTCACTAAGCCTTTGATAATTTATTCCACTGTTCTTGCCGTCAGTTTTCCCCTAACTTCCGCTCACGAAGAATTGCGCAACATTCGTACATTCTAAAATCTATTTAAAATCACCTCTCCCTTTACTCGCCAATTTATTCACGATTCCCCGTAAGATTTTGGCGGTAATAAGATTCACGATAGAAGGACGAAAGAAAAATTTCGTAAATAGAAAGAAAAAAGGAACAGGTTTCTGATTTCGACGAAAAAATTTGCAGGACTGGTTCTCCCGACAGCAGCTGGTGATGGTGGTGCTGTTCATCAACATATCGTTAGCCCTGATGTTCTTCAAACTGCTGACGTAGCAGCCAGCCGACGATTGGGTTCACGGGCTCGTGGTGGACGTGACCTGAGACGCGGGAGCGTCGCGACGCCCCGAGTCGTCACCGAATACAAGGATTCAAGAAACGATGAGGCGCGATCGCGTGGCCTCGAGCAAAGCAACAAAAATTAACGAGAGACATAAAACCGCTGAAAACGGCTTTCGAGCGATCCAACTCGGTCCCACACGGTGGTCAATGAAGCTTTTGGTGAAGAACAAAGAGAGGAAACGAGAGGAGAGTGGAACTCGGGGGAAAACCTTCGAGGATTCGCGTGGGACAAGGAACGACAAGGGACGAGCGAACACGATTTGAGAGGAAGAGGAATCGTTCTTTTTTTTTTTTCTCGAGCATCTCGACGTGTTCATGCGAGAGGGAGGGCGGCTTGTATTGTATAGAAAAATTAAAAAAAAAAAAAATAAAATAATGAACGAATCGCAGTCGAAATGACGATCTGGGGGATCCTTCCAGGTGAAAAGATTCGTCGATGTGGTTCAATTTTGGGAGAACACTCTTCCTGGAAGCTCCGCGAGAGTGACTAGAATGGAAGACGAGGAAAGAAGAGGCTCGTTTTTTTTTTCATCAGGGTTACTACCGTGTCCTCGGTTTGTACCCTGACACGCCTGTATCATACCTATTTTTACACCGAATATTTTAATAACTGATAAGATTAATATTTGTATGGGCTTGGACTTGTTAATTTGGTCCTAGCCCTAAAACACGGCGCGCACACACGAATCTCTCTCTACACAATTTTTTCCTGTTCTTTCTCGACGATCGACTCGAGCGCGGCTCTCCAACAAGAGACGACTTTTATACACGAGTGCTATATAGAAGCAGCTAGAGTAGAAGCGTGAATCGATATATTTGTCCCGGGGTGAGAATTCTCGTAAGGGGAGAAAGATGAAGAGAGAGAGAGAGAAATATTATAAAGGCGCGGACGATCGAGGTTATTTTTCAGGAGGGAATTTTTGCCACGCTTCGATCGCTACTTGAAACGGGGAAATGGCGGTATACGAGTTTTCGAGGGGTTAGAGACAGGTTTAAGGATATTAATTAACGAAGGAAACATAATAGGAGAGTTTAGGAGGAAAATAATACGACGAAGTTAGAGTTTCTATACAATTGTTACACGATTTCTACGAATTTGGAGAAAGAAACGAGAAGGGGAGCGTACACACGTTGTATTGATTAAACGTTACGATGTATTCATGTGTTATATCAACGTGTCCATGTAAAATGTATATGGGTGTTATGTGGATATAATGTAATCGTAAATCGTGCAGAATTCCTAAAGATGATACAACTTCGTTTTTCCGAAGTACCTTCTTTCTCGTGTATAGCCTTGCCTTCCACGCGGAACGAAACTGTACATAAGACACTTTTCTCCGATTTTTATATACACGTTAATTAGGGGTACGAGTGGCGACAGGAATGGAAAATTTGTCACGATTGGTATTTCTCGATCGAGAGTCACGCTAAGAGGGGAAGAAAAATAATAATAAAAATCGTGGCGAGGAGTGTTGCGATAAAACGTTGCTTATCACTAGTCGCAGCGTACAATTGTGTATCGTGTAGAAAAATGCAAAAAAAAAAAAAAAACAAGAACAAAGAGGAATGAATTAATCGAGTCACGAGGGATCTTCGACGAATCGAAGCAACTTAATTGAAGAATAGAAAATCGTATAAACTTTGCTCTTGTTCACGGAATCTATTTTACGATCGAGAAACTCGTTTCGATAATGAGTGTGCGATCTCAGGCGCGCGAGATTCGAATGACCAGCCTGAGAAAAAGAACGAACCTTTGTATTCGATCGAGAATATACGGCGAATTTTCTAGTTAATTGTAAAAGAGTGTAGGATAAATTGACCGATGAAGCGAACGTCTCGTCATTTTGTTGGTTCGTTCGCTGAAAATTAACGAAGCTTTTACAAGGAACCACTACTTGTAATCAACTTTTTCGCCACTTCTCTCGGGAATTCTGTTTGATAAAACGAAACGAGAGAAACAAATTGTCTTTGCGCGACGTATGCACGTATTACACGTCGACTTTTTTTTCACGCGTCGACACGGAGGTCGAGCTGGAGATCTTGAAATGTTTAAAAGATCGAGGATCGACCTCCCCCTGCGCTCGAGCGATCGCATTTTTCTAGCCTCAGGCATAGCTTGTACATCTAGGTGAATTTGTAAATAAAAAAGAAAAGAAAAAGAGCATTATGGTCCGCGACCGTCACAGTTAATCGTCTGAAGGAAGAAGAAAAATCCTCTTGG